ACTGTTTGGATCTAAATTAGACCCTAAGAATTTTAAAAAAATAATTCAAACAGAGACTTGGAATTTTGCCGGTTTTAAATAACTGAAATCGGTTCGTGCATAAACTGTTTTGGATTATGTATTAAACTTCTGTAAATTATTTCCTAATGGAAGGTGAGGAGTTTCTAGGATTGTTTAGGTTTAAATTAGACCCTAAGAAGTTTAAAAACAATTGGGACAGTGACTGGAACCTTCGTCGGAAGTGAAGGGGATGAACAGACGAAGAAGAGGCAAGCAGAGACGGTTCTCAGGGAGAGAGCCGGCTCCCTAATGATGGGAGCCGGCTCCCATGAAGAGAGATCCGGCTCTTCATGAGGAAGAGCCGGCTCTAGAAGCTTAGGAGCCGGCTCCAAGGGTTTCCAGAGCCGGCTCCCTTGGTTGCTAACACCTACGGGGTGTTTTCAGGCGGTTTTCTGGGTTTCAGGGACTTGGATGTGATTTTGGGAAAGTTGTGGGAGGTTTTAAAGGTTTAAAATTAACCTATTGAAGCTTGAAACCAGTTAGTATAAACTAGTGTGCTAACCTTAAAAGGTGGATCATGAAAAATAAACATGTGATTATGCATACTGTTAAAGATGGAGGAAGGATGAAGTTGTTAATTTGTTTAGCAACCTAAACAAACTGTGAAATTTCTTATTTGATGTTATATAACTTGATAAAGACCAAAAATATTGGTTTAGGATATGGTTATTGACCACATGAACTTTAGATGTTGAGTTGCATGCTGTCGGGAGTTATAGAAGCTTTTGTTGCCAGTTTTGTTTTAGTGATCTAAATAGACTGGTCTGGAATTTCATATAATGTGCTCAGCTCATATTTTCTGTGTATCATTATGTTATACTCTGGGATTATTGGAGGATGAATTAGACGTAATGAAATTTAAATGTTATGTCGCATGCCGTTAAAGATTGAGGAGGATTTAAATTGTTAGGCAGTTCTAGTAAGTTAAAATAAACCAAAATGGAAGTATTAGTTGAGAATTTTAATGAAATATGTTCAGGTTAAAATTCTGAATATTATTATGTCATGCTATATAGGTTAATTGAGGAACTGTAAAAATTACTGTTCATTCAATTATGTGGATATGGATGATTTAAATTGTTGATTATGCTTTAGCAATTTAAATGGAAGTTTTATGATTATAATCATATACTGGATGCATAATAGGATCTTAATAATACCTGTTTTCTATTATGCTGGTTCATGGATATACTTGATGTTCTAATGAATGTGCATCACTGGTGGATCATTTGCATTATATGTACCGGTATGGGACGGTGACATATCAGGGATGGATTAGATCAAAAAGCTAAGTCCTACCCCTTCATACATACGGAATGGATTAACTAAAATAGTTAAATCCTACATGGATGCATGTCCTGTCAACTAAAACAGTTGAACGACATAACGGATGTTTGTTTTATCTTTCTGCATTAGGAAATAATTTATATATATATTTATGGTACCGTGATACGAGTTTGAGTCTCCTGATCACGGTTAGGGTGCGTATATTGCAAAGGTTGGGTAGCTAGATATAGCTAATGTTCCTTGGTAGGTCTAGGTACTTGGCCGTTGAAAAGCGTGTTTTATATGTCACCTTCTACCCAGGCTAAACTATGTTATAGGCTAGTGAACATCCTATAGTGTGTATATATATATATGGACTATTGTAGATATTGCCGAGCTATCAAGGATGTATCTGCGTATCGGGTTTATGTACGGATTGTAGTAGATTGGAACTTGCATGTGGGCTTGACCCACTTCTATTTTTCAGGTATTCGCTGGTACCAGGCTTAGAGTTTGATGGTGTTGATGCAGATACAGACATTCACTCTTCCGGTTACATATGATTTCCTTTCTATTTTGGTTTTGGATTTTAATTCTGTAAATTTATTTAAAGTTTTAGAATTAGGGGTCCACTAGGTGGATTCCCGAGTTGTACGGATTTAAATTATATTAATTTATTATTTAAGGTTCGAGGATTTTCATTTTAGTTTCTTTCAGCGCATTATTATTTTATTCTTAATTCAGTTTTATTCTTGTTTGGTTACATATTAATTGTCTGATATCCCTCGGATCTGTGCTCGGACTTGATCACCCGTGGCTCTAGAATCGAGGGGTATCACACAAAACAAGTGAACAATTTAGGGTCAGATAACATGCATCAATATTCCATTTTAAAGTTTAATTTACATCCAAACCATCCCAGAAACTCCTCACATTTCTTTGTGAATTAATTTACAAGAGTTTAATACATAATCCAAACAGTTTATGCAAGGAAAGCAAACTTCAGGTATTTATATGTTAATCAGTTTAAAAAATTGAACTAATTCCTGGAGACTATATAGAATGCACAGAACACAAGTTTATAGGAAAGAGATAGTCTGAAACTTGCCTTTAGGTTTCGGTTTGAAACCTTTCAACCTCCGTCTACAAATTCTGGCAAACCCAAGACCTTCCCTTCATCCTCTAGTCACTGCCTTTTACCTCTGTTACTTCTTGGCTCAAACCACGAACAATTCCCTTATTTCATCTCTCAAAACCCCCCTTTCTGTTTATTCTCAAAACAATTCCAGAACCTCTGTTTTCCCCTCTCCAGATATAACGTGAATAGGGTTTTCTCAAAACCCTTGCAGACATATATTGTTCTATATATATAGGCTCTATCAAAACCCTAATCCTAATTCCACGAGTCATTATGTCAGCTACCACTTATATATATACAAATTAAACCCTAACTTAAATATCACCCAAACCTGGTATTCAACAAGTGCCCAAAACAATCATGTTCATAATAAGTATATCTGTATTAAATAACCAACTAATTAATTATACTTAAAACAAATACAGGAAAACAAATAAATAAATATAAAATAAATCACTCAAAACACATACAAAATTTCAAGTCAATAAATAATTAAATGCACAGAAAACAAATAATCAATTAATTAATTAAAATGCACATAAAAACAAATTTAAATTTCCATTTTATCCCTTTTGAAAACTAGGGGTATTACACCTCCCCACCCGGACCGAGTAAGTCACTATAGGGGCAGCGGAGGCTAGCCCCAAAGAACACCCAGTGGGACTCGAACCCCAGACCTTGGGCTTGCTAAGCACCAAAGTCCAGCGAATAAACCACTGAGCCATATCCGAAGTGAATTAATACTATGATATTGCTATTCAAATATTATACAGAATTCTAAAAGATAATTATAAATCAATATAATAGTAACAATAATAAACTATATAAAAAACCTGTTAATAGGGCGATGCTAAAATTTGATTCTATTTCCTAAAAACAGATTCGCTGTGCAACGGTGCTGACGGACTTTGTAATGTTTGTCTTCCAGGATACAACAATCTTTATTTCTTTGGTTACAACACTTCAGACCGGAGAAATGGGCGAACCAGCTCGAAGTAGTACTCTCTCTTTTAGATCGGACTCAAACTTACACTATAGAACTATATGTATGCAAACAAGAGAGGTAGAAGAGAAAAATAATTTAGAAATCTGTAAAAGATTATGAATTTATGCACCTTATAATTGAACCAGGGGGTATTTATAGGCAACTAGGTGCTTTTCGGGTGACCCGAACCGTCATCGGACGAGATTGTTCAGTCCAAATCATTGCCAAAACACCTATTCAAATTCGTATGCACTGGTTCACACCATGCGCGTCTCTTTGCACAAACACAGTGCCTGTTTTAAATAGGTATTGTGCATTGGTTCGAACCACATACACTTATTCAAGCCCAGTTAAAATCTGTTTAAAGAAAATAATCATGTTTTACAATTAAGCCCCAGCCCAGGCAAGACTCGGGCTGTTCCGAGTCGAGCGGTGCGTGTTGTGAATGGTTTGAGCGCAAGCTAGCCTAGGTCCTCTTCTTAAAAACATGGGTACCCTTGGGCCAAAACCCAAATGCCAAACTTGGACTATATATATATATATATATATACCCATTACTTATTTTTGTAAGCTTATCAAAACACCTTACTTTGGAGTTAATATATCACAAGGATACTTGGTTAATTATATATATATATATATATATATATAAATTTTTTTTTTTATTGCCGTATCTTATCTGTACCCTGTTTATTTGAGATTTGCCATATCGCTCTACCGATATCATGTTGTATCTGTATCCGTGAATAAAAAAATAATCAAAATTTAATTATTTTATAAAATAGAAATATTATTCCGTTGTATTCGTATCTATATTCACTATTTGGTGATGAAATTGACGACTAGGATCTTGATCGCCAAGCCAAGAAGAATGTCATAATGCTTGTTTGGGATTGTTTCTCTGTCGCTAAAAAAAACTGCAGTTAGAACTAGTTTACGTGAAGCTAGAAATTGTATCTTTTGTAATTGCGTTCGAGGTAAACTTAGGTAACTACTTTTTTTTTGACAATATAATCCTTTACTTTTCTTTAAAAATACAATTTTATACCTTACTAATCTGCATGTCATGGTTTGTATTATAATAAGCCACCAAGACACTGGTGTAACTTGTATTTAAATTAGTTTTATAACCCCAAAATCATGCAATGTTAACCAACAATCATACCAAGTGAATAAATCACTCACGTTAATATCATACAATATTGTTATTGGTGTATGTCTAATATAGTAAATTAATATTAAAAGTGATTTAAATAACATTATTACCAAACAAATTTATAAGTGCTTTAAGTATAAAAGTGCTTTATAATTAATTGCAGTAATTTTGTAACATATTAAAAACGTTTTTATTATTTTAACAGCAATTCCAAACGGGCTCTACCCAAAATGTCGTATCTGTATTCGATATTCATATGACAGAAAGTTTCGACCCGAGGCCCCTAACGCTACATATTGTCGCGTAAAGCCCAACCATTTGTAGGCCCAAATTTCACATCCACCAAGGTCACATAATTTACAGTATATATACGAGTATATATATATGGACTACTCCGTATACAGTAGGGATTAGGGTTTGGATAGAGTAAGGAATAAATAGTGGTCTATTATTTTATCGTGAAGAAGATCAGCAAATCTGTGAATACAAGATCGAATGGCATTCTCCGACTCCGATTCCGATTCCGATTCGGATCTTATAAGTAGCGTTCTTGTAGAAAGGCCTCCCCATCGACCTGAGGAAAGCCTCGGTCCCAATCAGTACCTAGCGTACACCAGCCTTCCGATCAGTCTCATCTGCGACTCTTGTGGGAACCGCATGCCCAAATGCTCCGAGATTGCCGTCACACACGATGTCTCGGGCAAAGTAAGTTAGAAGATTCATTTGTTCAGATCCGTCTCCTCTCTCTCCATATATATATATGCGTGTTATATTGATTAATTTGGTTTTGTATATTATGCAATGCAGGGTGGTCGAGATATAACTTGGTCCAAGATCTACGTGGATTGCACCAATTCAAATTGCATAGCTGAGATCACGTTAAAGCGTAAGGGCTGCCAATTTGTTGTTTTGTCTGGTGCAACTCCGTATTTCCGGCCAGAGGATGAGGTATAAACACCAATTGTTTAGTATGTATGTATGTATGTATGTATGTATGTTAGCGTCGCTTGCTTGCATATTCCTGTTTACCATAAACATTAAATAGATTCGATGATAGAAAAGAAAGTAACAAGTGCGTATTTGTGTCATATCGAAAGAAAGTAACAAGTACGTATTTGTGTCATAATTGTGTCATATCGATGGCTAATACTTAATTGTCAGATGTGTTTCTTATATTTGCATTGGGGGGTCGAACAGGAAATTATAATGTATGAACCTGATTAATCTCAGAGCAATGAATGTTTCATCTAATGAACAAAGTGATGCAGTTTTTATCATTATTTTTTAATAAAAAAAATCCCTCATTTGATTTTCATTAAATTACAAATTGATCAACATACCTACCAATCTTATAATTTCAAAGGTTATATAGGCTATATATATAATGAACAGAATGATGAGTTTCTTTTATTCACTTAATTTTCACTAAATTAAAGTATTTAATACTTTGTTCATTTATTATTTTTATTTTTTTGATACAGCATAAGTCTTTATACAAATAAACGAAATTTGGTATATTTTATGTATTACGGAGTAATATTTTAGTTTTAGAGATTTCTTCTCTCAATCTTAAGAGAGAGAAGAGAAACATTTTGAATTCCATTATTTCCACTTATTTCTTTTCAAAAGGGGATTCTTTTAAAGAAGTGGTTGGCCTTTGAGGCGAGTATATGACTTGTAGAGTTACTGTGTCGACTTCAAATCTTTTTACATTTTCATGTCTTCTTATATTTAGTAGTCTGAGGGTATTCTTATTATATCTTCCCTTAATCTGTTTGCATTTTCATGTTTTCACGTTATGTTTCTTGTTTTGTGACCGTAGCCAAATTTAATATCAAGTCTTTTTACACTTTTTTGAAGTTCGTGTTAGTTTAGAACTTTAATAAATTTTTCATTATTTTGGATGTAGAAATTGGAATGTCCTGGCAAAGTTGGGATAAAAACCCACCGCATCTATCAAGGTATGTGTCACTCAGATTTATTTAATTTCAGTTCAACACTGGCAGAGAAGTTCTCTTTAACTAATATATATAGTTTTTGTGTAACATTTTTTTCCAAGATATCTACCATTGTTTGATATAGTTTACCGCTATCTCGAAAGTATGTATAATATTAATTGATTTTGGAATTCTATTTTATTTTTGTGAATTCAATTTGATATATCTTTTTTTCCCATTTTTTTCATAATTATGAATTTCTTGTTTGTAAACCTCTTCCGTATAGAGTCATTCTACAGGCTTCTTAAGTAGATAAAAAACATTAACTTTAATTCTTAGCATCATATTGGCTGCTAAATGATTCTTGTCTCGCCAGTTTAGGGCAATGTTTATGAAAACAAAATGGACGGCGGAAGCTTATCTAGTTGATCCTACTTTATGTAGGATCCTTGTGTACAACCATTGAGTTGGATTATTGGTTAAACCATTCAAGTTTATGGGTTCACAAATGTAAAATGTACTGTAATGCTGCATTAAATAGTGGATGTGTGTCTTCCTTATAGCTATGTTTGGAATTGAGATGAGAGTATTGGGTCTATAAAACTACATGTGTTAGTTGTCTTTCATGTTTTCTTGTTATTTCCATCTTATTATTTCTAGTGAATTAATCTTAGGAGCCGTTATTGTGTTTGTAAATGTTCAATTCTCGGTGGCTTCTGAAGAGCCTTGATTAATGATTCATTATTTGGCTTTAATATGATGTTGTTAGTTCTTGTTCTTTTTTTAAGTATTGATTGTCTTTGAAGATTTTGGAAAATGTGTTTTTGTGCATATATATATATAACTTTGCTTTAATTTGGAATTGCATAATTCATGTTATTCTTAATATGAAGCTATAGTGAATTTCCTCAAAAACTGTTTAGGGATTCAGCAGTTTTTTTATAAAACTGAGTCAATTTCCAGTAAACATTAAGCAATTCGATAATTTATTCTGTTTTCAACTTTAAATCCATTTGTGAGTCCTAATGTGAAGATATATTCTTGTACTAATTCTATCGGTATGCATAGCCTAGTTCTCATTTTCTAGTCACACAATTATTATTATTATTATTCATAATTGCTATATCGTTTGGGTATTATTTTATCGAGGGTCAAGTATATTAAATTGTTTGTTCGCTGTTATTGCTTTATCAAAGTCTTCCCTTCACATTAAGTTATATATGGGGTGAAGAGCATGCAGACATGCTGCACTCAGTTTGCTGCATTTGGTGTGTTTTTCTCCTCAAGCAAAGTCTGCAAGTTGTCTTTACAGTTTTAAAATTCGACACTGCATCTTTCTAAGAAGGATTTTTGGAGAAATGGAGAAATAAAAGATGGTTGTACCTTGGCTAGAAGTCTGCTAACATATTTCATCCTTTGTACTTTAATATGTTGTCTTGAGAAAAAGGGAAAATATAACTATTTGTAGTGTATCATAACCCGTTAGCTAAGTCAAATAGCTTTTGATGTATATGCTTTTATTTGTTGTATCTTGAGAACATCTTGGGTGGAATTCTTGTTGACCTGATTTGTTAGGGACTAATTTGGGGTTTCAATTATATGGACTAGTATTGTTGACCACGTGTAGTGCAGCACTTGGCTTTATTTGATTGATAAGGAAAGAATCAAAAGGTATACATCCTTCATCCCACTACTCTAGCTCCTTTTTTGGATTCCAAATCTTTAAGAGGACTTGCATGCATTCTCCCCTTCCAAAATTCCAAAATTACCCATTTGAAGTTAAAAGTTAGTATTGTTAGCTGGAAAGAGTTTTCAAAATTTAAGGATATTTTAGGAAATATGCAATCTTTCTAACATGGACCTGAATCTTTCTAAATGGGACCTGAATTTTTGGATAGCTAATTTTGGAAAGAGGGACAATATGATGTAGGGGTTTCGCACTCATGTCAGGTGTAGGCGTAGGGAAAATTTGGTATGAAAATTTAAGTATTCTCATTTAGGCGCAAGGACATTTTGTCAGGGCTGTATTAGTATTTTAATTTTGATTGCTCTGGATATGTTTAGTATTTATGGGGTATTTTATTTTCTTTTAGGGTTTGCTTATAAGAGTGCTGAATATAATTGAACTCATTAGGTTTTTGGAATATTGATTATTGCTGCTTCAAATTTGTCTCTGATATTTTTCTCCCCCTTTTCTGTTCTATTGTTCTCTCATCCCCTCCGTCCGTCCGTCCATTCTATTTGTTACCCTTTTGTATTGCTGCTTAGCCATTTAAAACCAATTTTATTGTAAAAAAAATGCTTTAAAATGTGTTTGGTAAACAAAAAAATTACTTTTAAATGTTAGAGATTTTCACTCAGCAGAACTTTTGAATGAAGCTAAAATTTTTAACTTTTAAAACTACATCCTGAATAGGGGTTTTATCTTTTTAGGTAATTGTTTTTCCTTATACCATTATTTTGCTTCTTTTACAATGTTCTGCTATTATCACATGTATAAACATTTCATTAAAGGAGATTATTGAAAAATTAATATTAGAAGTGCCTTAAATCAATATTGTTACAGAATATATATAAAGTGCTTTAGTCATGATAAATACTTTATAAAATCCATCACCAAACACCTAACATTCTTCTTATCAACAACAATTTTATGACTATTATATTGATAAGAGCTGTTTTTTAATTACAACAGCAATACCTAACATTCTTCTTATCAACAACAATTTTTATGACTATTATATTGATAAGAGCTGTTTTTTAATTACAACAGCAATGCCGAACGGGCCCCTGTTCATTTTATATTCTCATCTCTTTTGTCTGTCTTCTAACCCCCTTCTTCTATCTTCACATCCCTTGCTTTCTTTCTGGTCCTGCATCACAAGAATTTTGGGATGGAGGGGGTGTTTTACTATCTTCTTGCGTAATACTCTGTATGTATATTTTTTCCCTTTTTATTTTGGGCAAATTGCATAAAATTCCCCTACCTTTAATTTTGGCACAAAACCACCCTACAAAAAAATAAAGTAAAAAATTGTCCTAAATTTCCCCTAAACTATACTATGGGGGTTCTGGCCCGAACTGTAAGTTAGATGCTGTTAATGTCTATTTGAAGGTACTAAATTACCCATATTTACTGAAAAAAAGTGTATAAAAAAAAATATTTTGCAAATCTAGACTAATTTATAGGGTGTTGTTTTAGCGATGTCCACGCCCATGTAAGACTTCCGATACGTCCCCAAATTCTCTGTCATACCCATCTTCTCTCTCGTCGTGACCCTATCATTACATAGAGACTGTTACGTGGACTTGCTGGAACCGGCGAGAGTGTCCCTGTCGACATGACGCGGAAGTGGACACGGGATATATGTCGGACTCTTCATTTTTTAACTGGACATGGCTGCCATTGATGGTGGTGCTAGGATGCTGGTTCAAAAAATGAAAGGGATTGGCTGTTGCTATTGACGGTGGTGTTAGTTCCAAAGGTTGAAGATGCGTGTCTCGGAAAGTATGCTACAGATCCATCTGCTTTTTTTTTAATGGTTAAGATGAAGCTATCTCTTATTGTTTTTTGTTCAAGGCAAAGATGAAGCCACTTGTCCATGGTAGATGTAACCTTTTTAGTTAATGGAATACGGCTGAAAGTAATTGGGTTATAGCTGTAAGCTATTAGTTATTGTTGTAACTAATAAAAAAGTAATAGTATAAGTTTTCACTACAGTTTTACTTACAAAAATACAATACTCGTTTACACTGCACTTTTACTTACAAAAAATTCAATAGTCAGTTACAGCAGTAACTAGTGGGCACTTTTATTAAAAAAAAAATTAAAAACAGCTGGCATATCTCTTTTAAATGGTATTGGAAAGGTACAAATACCATAAACAAAAGGTACAGGGCATGAAAGCTGGTTAATATTTATTTTATTTTTATTATAAAATTGATGGCTCATATATAAAAATTATACAATTTTCATTTATAAAAGTGTCCAAGTACCCGTGTCCAGATATTGGACACTTTTTAGCCGAGTCCCCGTGTCCTTTAATTTGATATATTAACTAATCCGACCTCTGGATATGCATCCGTGTCCGTCACCCGTACCCGAGTCTGGGTAACATGGCAGAGACATGCTTTACTTCAATGGCAACAGTCTATCCAAGAAGTGGCTTCTGCCATGCCAACTCTATCTCTTACAAGTTACAACAAATGCAAGCCCATACCTTTTACATTCCAACTACTCCCTCAAAGTCACCCCAAGAATCTCCTCGCAGCCTCACATCATTGTTCTAGAATCTAGAGTGAATAGGAATAAGGTTGGGAAGTTAATAGCTTGAAAAAAAAAATTGTCTTATATATTTATTCTTATTTCCACATGTTTCAGTTTATTGTGAGAATCAGTCGCATTTGGTACTGGTCACTTTTGAAAAATGAAATTAAATAATCAGGGTTTAAAAGACTAGAGTTAACAGAATAAAGTAATGTATTATGTTTATGTAGCTCTCTAATAATAGGAGAGAAAGCTATGCTAACATGTCATATTTCTCTCTCTCTCTCTCTCTCTTCATCTACAGAATATAATTCAGTTCTCAGATCTACATAAACCAGGTCGCAGTGGCTTCTGTTTTTTTGTCATTGTGTAACTGTTCGATTTCTAGAATTATAAGAGGAGGAATTTCGAGATAGTTTGGGGATGCAGCCATTTTTGCATAGGGTTTGTGATTCTGTCTGTTAAGTCGGAGAGTTCAGATCACTTCTTCTTGTTTCCTGCTAATGATTTTTGAAATTAATTCTCTGTTTGTATTTTTTAATTGGTTGTTTTAATGTTGATTTGTAATCCTTGGGCCTGGTGCTTGGAGTTAGTTGGATTGTTTTGGTGGCTTAATAAAATCTGATTTAGGGGAAGAAAAAAAATAAAAATAAAAAAATAAAAAAAGAAAAGAAAGAAGAAGAGAAACCGGATCTCCAATCTCAGTGAGTCACTCTCACAGTTCACACTTTAAGACTAGGACCGTGGAACCGAACTGGTTGCTCACGGTTTGGTTTGGTTCAGTTCCATTGGTCTTCACGGTTTGGTTTGGATCCAGTTTTTGTGGAACAGTTAGGGCCGGTTTAGTTCCAAAATACTTCCAAACCAGTCCGAACCAAACTTTGTGCACCCCTATTTCTATGAGTCTGTTGACATTTTTTATCTACTATGCGGAAAGCTTGCAGAAGGAATGACAATTATTTTGTTAATTTTTGGTGGAGTAAATAATGTCAAAGTGTAAACTACGAAACTGTTTGCATTTTTCACTTAGCCAAGTAAGAAATTGACTTATGCTCTCCTTTGTTTCTTCGTACAATTAAGATATTTACTTATGCTCTTCTTTGTTTCTTCGCTTCCTGGTCTTCACTTCAACCAATTGCACGTGCTAGTTCAAGAAATCATATTTAGAAAATTTAGAACCATATTTATTGTTTCACTGGGCTTGCTCTAGACAATGGAACAATATCTGAAGATATTTGGAGGAGCACTATTTCTGCAATTGAAACTGGATTTTGTTCACTTGTGCGTAGGACATATGGAACAAAATGGGTTATTCTAGAACCGTATTGGGTTATTTAGTTAGATTGTCCAAATAAAGTGCAAGGGGTGGGAAGGAGTGGGTTGAATGCGGATGGGACAAAATGGGTTTTGAAAAGGGTATTTTATGGTAAAAGTGTTTCACTTTATGTGCATGTGAATATCATGAGCTTTTTAGCCATTAGATTCATAACGACTATCTCACTCTTTTTTTTTGCCTTAACTTACCACCAATGTTACATGGACTTTTCAAAAATAGGTGAAGTAACTGTGTCAGACCCAGAATACTCTGCTATGGTTATGAAAATGTGTCTTGGCACCTCAAAACATATCCAATGATTCAATTTTGTTATATTATTGCTTTACAACTAGTGAAATATGTGTATAAAAATAATAATAATTTAGTAGTTTTCATGTGGCCGTTTGAAGGTTTGATGTGTCTATGCATGCCCACACCCGGCAAGTACTTGAACTGGGTAACACAGGGGTGGTATGATGTGCCAATGCTTATTCAGTAGTTTGGTATTCTTACCATCTTTTAGAAAATGAGTTACTATGGCAATTAAGTAGAATAAGGAGACTATTAGTTTCTTCATGGGTACCTCATTTACTCGTATATTGACAAAAAGTTTGTGTTTGTCCGTTACAGGAAATCTTGCTTCTTCTGGAGTTATGGCTTCTATTGCTTCTTCAGTTATGGCTCCTAGCAAGATCAACTCGAAACAAAAGAGACGGAAACGAAAGATCATTCCTGCTAAATGATGACAAGCCACGAGGGTAAAATTTTAGTTTGGTTGGATTACATTCTTCTGATAAGACACAATAGACCTTGTTTTTATACTTGTAGATTGTGAGCTCTTTACATGCAAAAATAACTTGTAATATTTTAACTCGGCACATGCAGTGTGCTTCATTGAAGTTTATAATAGAATTTGCCTATTAAAGTGTGTTTAGTAATGGGCTTGTTTGTCTATTATGGTTGGATCAATAGTGTTATTGGATATTATTTTCAAGCAGTTGGTTTACTCAAAATTACTCTTTCAATGAGATATTTAAGATGCATGTATCATAATGCATTAGAACAATGTCTCTCTCTTTCAGTCATGGGTTTGTTCATCTAAGAAGTTAGTGTATCCACCAGCTTATGAACCAATCCTGGTATTCTCCAGCTCGAACTAGTCAACAGTTTTACCCATGCTAATGAGTTTTCGTTTGTAGGAATAGTTTTCTCAACACAGTTTTTATTTTTTATTTTTTATGATTTTAAAACTTGTGCTTGATAGTCTTGTTGGGCCTTCCATTAATGAGGCTTCAGGTTGGTTGGTTCGTAGGAAGGTTGGTTAGTTCCAAGGAAGCACGGATACTTCACTTGTTGAATAAGCAGATATGGTCCGGACATGTGTAGCGGCTAGAAGTATCGTGACAACTATCATGAGTTTCTTACATTAGAGGAAGTGCTTTTGTATTTGGTTTTTACCACCACCTGTACCAAGGGGAGGCGATGAGTTGGCAACCCCAGGGAAATTTACTGTCAGGCTCTCTTGACATGTAGAAAATGCGTCTTAAGTATCTATGTGGGTGACGACCTTGCTTCATGGACAATTCTATTGGGGTGCATCAGGTGGTTGGATTGCAAGGTGCCTTGGGGCTGGAGACTTGAAATTATTTTATAACCATAAATTGCTCAAGCTGTGGTGCAGTGGTTAATCAAGAGTGACCGAGTGAGAATGCCGCTTCGAAATCCTTAGTGTAGCCATTTGTGCAAATAATGCCAAAAGGTTCTGTTTCCTATCTGCCCTTCCAGCACCCTTGATAACGGATCCCTGGGTAATGACCCTTTTTATGTTGCATAACTATAAGTATTTAAGGGGCACATTTGTAAGCGGAGTGGGCTACTGGTGTGCTCAAGTTTGAGTTGGTGTTTGTCTTAGATTATTGCACTATTGTCGTAGGCACGAAGGCATGATTGTGGATTGGGAAAACACATGTGGGCTGAACCTCTCTGATTGTGGATTGGAAAACACATGTGGGCTGAACCTCTCTGAAATGCAATTTTGTTATGATTTTCATCATGCTGCTGTTGGTTTATGTTGCCTTTATGCTATGGTGTGCAAGTATGCACATTGGTTGTTTCTTTAGTGTGCTAGAGGATCTGTTACTTAGGTAGGCTGGCGATGGCCTATTAAGTCATGGTGTTACCTGTCCTTGTGCTGGGACAACGAGCATTTAGTTAAGAACTTCATTTTCAATGCATAATAGCCACATGGCCCCAAATCAATATGGCTTCATTTACAAAGTCAATTACATTCAGTAATGAACTTCATTTTTAATTCATAATAGCCATATGGCCCTATTAATATGACTTCATTTACAAAGTCAATTATGTAAACGATCATCCTTATGGAACAGGTAGTCGTCAAACTCGCATTGTTCAAAGTCAATTATGTAGTCATCTGAATAATTATAAGTTGATTCATTATCATTTTTGTATACGTTGCAGTATAAGCATTATATATATATGTGCACACACATTGCATTATGTTAAAGACGTGAAATTTATGTTGTTGTGTGGTTCCTAGTACTTAATATTTGTGTTCTATAGTTCCATTGAATTGTGTAATTCTAACCCAAAGGTATACTTTTGGGTTGCAGCAAAAGAAGAGAGAGATGGTTGCATCTGCATTTGGAGAGGATGAGACAGGTAGTTGTCAAACTCGCCTTACTACGGAGGACTTGAAATACCTGTTCATGGTTTAATTAGGGGTGTCTGCCTATTATATAGATTTCGTTCTAGTCTCTGCGTTACCTCTGTAGTTGAAGCTTGTCTAACAATATATCTTTAGATTAACAGGAAAAGAGCCTCATTTTACAAAATATCTTGTGAATTCACTTGATGTATTCCTTTGACAATCTTGCTTTCTCATTGTATAGGATGTAGATTTCAATATCTTACACCAATTAAAGATGGGTATGTAGTTCGTTGAGATTCTTTCAAGTATTGTTTAAACGGTAGTGTTCGTTTTTTGACGAATGCTAGATTGATTGGTAAATTTGTTCATCTTTTTCCCCGGCCAATGCTTCTTATTCTTCTCCCTCTTTTTTTATTATTATTTATTCAACAGTTAGACGAGACATTATATACATATAATGTGAATAAATCTATACAGGTGTGATACTAGAAGTAATATTATGGAGACAAACAATTATCTGCTTTTTGTTTTAGAACATGATTAATTCTGTTTTGTTAGCATTCTATTATGTTTAGGTTCATGTAAAAGCTATGAAACAACTATGGAGAATATGGGACGAAGTCAGGGATGATGATTGAAGCCACTGAAATATTTGGAGCTAAATATGTTGGCCTGTCATCAGTTCAGAAATGCTTGCCTTTTTCCTGCTTTGTTTCTTTACATATTTTCTTGTGCTCAGAACTTGGATTTTCTTGTGGTTCAGATTCTTTTGTAGTCGTATTGGTTATAGAGATCGGGTGAATGTTTTTTTGTTATGTGATTTTTCGGTTTTCTTTCACATATAACTTTAAGATAGATTAGTAATTGATGTTTTTCAAATATTAAGGTGCAACGCATTTATCTGAGAACGGGAGCGCCAATCCAAGCACACAAAGTGGGTGTGCTAAATTCAAATATTTGAGGGATGCAGACATCAACTAGGGGTGCACACAGTAGTGTTCCTGCCGGAACCGTTGGGAATGGTTTCTTGAAAATGGAACTGGAATCGGAACCGTTAGCATATCGAACCGAACCAAATCCGAACAAATTCAAAAGATTGAAATACTAAATGCACAGATACGTCACAAAATTCACAAATTACAACTTATATATATAATCCCTTTGCAGATCTAACAAGTAAAAACCACACAAGCATAAAATACTAAACATGTAGTTTACACCCGAAGTTCTGAACCAGCAAAAACAGATCAAAAAGAAACAATCCCTAATTGACAAAACCGTGGTTGGAGTTTGATGGATTATGGTCGCTGGATGGTTGAGAGAGAGATTGATCGACTGTGAGTGAGAAAGAAAAAGAGAGAGAGCGAGCTATATACTGATGAAGAACAACGGTGGGCTGCGCAGGCGGCAACAAATGATGGTGGTTGTGACTCTCTAAGGGAGGTTGTGAGTTGGAGACTTGGAGGCGTTAGAAGTCCTTAGGGTTTAACGGAAATTGGGAATGAGATTTGATTGTATTATTTTAAGCTATCAGAGATAAATTAGTTAATATAAGTATATTAAATATATATAATGAGTAACGGTATGGTTCAGTCCAGTTCTAAAATACTTGAAATTGGAATCGAAACAGAATATAACGGTTCCTAAATTTTGGAACCGGAACCGAAGCTCCGGTTCGGTATTTCAGTTCTACGGCTTTTTTGTGCACCCCTAACATCAATTATACCTGATTTGGCAGGATGCGTGTGCTAAATTCAAATATTTGAGAAATGCAGGCATCAACTAAACCTCATTCGGTGAGATGCAGGCATCAAAGGCATCAACTATACCTCATTTGGCAACCTTACGGGTACGTTTGGTTGACAAGAAATTGATGATAGAAAGTGAAAGGAAAAGAAAGTGAAGTAAAAGAAAAGAAAATTAGTTTTCTATAATGGTTAGCATAAGTTTTTTTTAGAGAAATTTGTGAAAAAATATTGTTTAATTAGTTTGGATAGAGAGTGGAAGAAAAATAACTTTATATGTCAAAATTACCCTTATAAATTTAATAGTAAGTAATATACATCACGCAATAAGTAAAATAATAATAATAATAATAATAATAATAGCAATGGAATAATATATACAATTGGATATATGAATAAATATATATGTCCGTGAATATATATATATATATATATATCTGTCCAGATGCATATTTGATATTTGTTTCTTTATAGGTTATTTTTTTTTAATTGTTTTATTCAAATCACAGTGGGACCTTTTTCCTGTTCTTTGCATTATTCGTGTTATACAAACACGAATAGTTCGCTTTAAAACCACCTTCTTCTTCTTCTTCTTCTTCTTCTTCTTCCTTTTTTTTTTTTTTTTTTTTTTTTTTTTTTTTTTTTTAATTATTGGTGATTTTCAAATACTGACCAATTATATAGCGGACCAAAACCACTCTAAGTCATGTTAATGGACTCGAAGGAGCCTATGCCTATACTTTAACAATTTGGATATAAATTTTAATATTTTTATTTATTATATTATAATATATATATATGTATGTATGTATGAATGTTCTATGTATTAATTTATAATATGTATATAGTGCGGATTTAGTGACTTACAAATACAAATTCCTTTCATAAATATTTTTTTTTTATTGTCTTTCATAATTATTACTCCATCTGTCCCAAAAAAATATTCTGTCGTGACTCACAAATTGTTCTCCGAACAACACATCTAATTTAGGACGGAGATAGTACATTTGAACTATTTTTTTAGTGTCAGAATAAAAAATTTACAAGAAGAAATTGTTACCGGGTCAATGGCTGGGGCCAAATCTCAAGTCTCCTTCACAGGTTTGGTCCTTGTCATTGGGCTGATCCAATTTCACGAAGCGGTGATCATATTTATTTATCCATATCCACATATATATATATATAATCATGCAAGAAGCTCTTGCACTTTAACGTCTCTAAGTAGACTTGAACTCCCTACCTTATGTATATATATAATTTTTGTACATGTAGGCATAAGAGTAGTATATCCCGTGCATAAGAGTGGCCACTTATATGTATAAAAGAGGCACCTCAAATAATGAGGTTGGTTTGAATAATAAACAATATTTTAATCAACTCTATTTCTTTTAAATATTATGACTTTGACTCCATAAAATGATTGTAAATAAAAGTCCAAAATTAATGTATACCCAATAATATTTTTATTATTATTATTTTTTAAGTTGTACTCTTCTTGTTCAAAGTGGCCCTCTAACTTCTACAATTCTCTTGATTGTCAATGCACACACGCACCTATGCAGTTTTCTCCTTAAATAATACTCCCTCCATTTCATATTAGTTGTCAACCAAAAAAATTTTGACTCATAATTTTTGTAAGTCAAAATTATCAAAATAAACCTCTACTACGGGATATAGATAGTATATAAGTATATTAAAGGAATATAAATAAAAATAATATCAAATGATTCAAAAATAAAAGGTGGTACTAAGTCAAATTTTTTTAAATTGACAACTATTATGGGACGGAGGTAGTATGGTTTTGTCGAGTATATACGTGAAAACGATAGACACTACCTAATGTGCTGAATTGTTTTTTTATTTTTATTTTATTATTGTTGAAATATTATAATGCAATGCAGAATGGTATAAATTATCGGGAACAAAAATGCAGAATGGTATAGTTTCATATATATGGATCCAAGCTCTACCTGTATTGCACCTATTGGGTAGCTGAGATGATGATAGAGTGTGAGGGACTCTGTATTTCTGGCCAGCAGATGAGGTATAAATTAACACCATTTTCTTCTGGAGTACGTTGTAGCTTCTAGCTCTTCGTAGTTGCAGCATGCATTTTCGCTAAATATATGGCAAGCCACAAAGATAAAATTTTAAGATCGTTGTATACATGATAACATAATTAGAACAGTGATAGTTAAAGGAACTCTTTCAATTCTATTGTCTTCTTTCAATATCAACACACATGACATGGACAAGTAACCCCATTTTCCTTCACAAAAGCACATACATGAAGCTTAGAGATTAGGGTTTATATCCAGAAGGCACCATATATATATTCCAATACGCTCGAACTCTCCTCTTCACGGACACTAGATCTCTTTCATTTATGGGACTCTCTTTCTTTCAGTTGGTCATCTCACTCTCATATCCTCCGTATCTGTTCATCTCTCTATCACTTGCGCCCGGCCCTCTCACTTCAAACAAAAAAGATATATATATATATATATATATATATATATATATATATAGACACACACACGCACACACAAATGATGTGTAGTTTTGATGGATAAAATTCAGACAAAACAATCAATGCTAATTAAGAGTAGACTTTTTTTAATTAATGAAATATCAAGCGAAATATTGTTAAGGAATTTTTTTTCCCATTGCAAATGCTAAAGGCCAGCCACAATGGCAGTACATGGGCAAAAAACATAGCCAGATAAAGGCATACAAATTATGAAGCAAAACAAGAAAAATGAATAACAAACTCCAGATTTGTTGAGAAAGAGTCACAACTCAACAACGAAAGTTAGAGCTGCAAATAAACCGAGCCGAGCCGAGCTTGGGTCTACTCGGGCTTGGCTTGTTTGTTTACTGGGTCTGCTCGGGCTCGGCTCGTGGCGAGCTCAGAAAATTGTGCTCAGTTCGGGCTCGTCTTAATTTTAAAAGTTCGAGCTCGGCTCGTTAATTTTTTTTTTAAATTATATCTCAAAATTAGTTAGTATTCCAAAAAAAAAAAAAAAAAAAAAAAAAAAAAAAAAAAAAATTTAAAGTTTCAGTCCCTCCTTAACCACACCCAGTTACCAAGGAGCATGTTCGAATGGTGAAATCATCTGTTTGTATTAGTTCTATTGACTTGAATTATTAAAAAAGTTTGTTTCAGTTAATTAATATAGGCGCTAATTAAAATTAAATAAGTAGACTAAGTTAGTGCTCAATTCTGATTTCTATTCATACTTAAATCGACGAGTTTTTGAAGATCATAGAGTCAATTCAGATTTCCATTCATACTTAATTCACATTTGAATATTTTATAACATAATATTGATAAATATTTGAATTTAAATATTACAAAATATCTATCTAAGTTGTGTTCAATTCTAATTTCCATTCATACTTAGATTGACGAGTCTTTGAAGATAATAGAGTCAATTATGATTTCCATTCATACTTAATTCATATTTGAATATTTTATTGTTGGGATTTATATGCCCTGGCATAGCAAATTCCTGTTTGGATTAAAGTGACATATGTTCCCGACGTTTTTGAAATATTTATGTTTTATACAATTGGTGAATTCAATGTATTATATTTCGATTCATTATAGAATTGATAATGTCCATTTGATTTCAAGAAA